TCCACGAATGCTTGCAGAACATCAACTGGATAAACGGAGAGCAAATGCTGAAGTGTACTGGTGACGAGGCACGTATTACTGGGCTGCAAGTCGGAACGTTCCGATAGCCAACTACGAAGCCGACTGAAAATGTTGCAGCGAGTGCGAGAGCCAGTGAACGGAAATAGGGATTCCGGTTCCGACAAATGCGACTATTTGGTCCAGTCACTATGAGATCGCTGGTCCACGATTCTGTAACAATCGCGGGAATAATCATCAGCGACACAATGACCGAAAGAGAAATTTGGCGCCGGTGATAGCGCTTGTGATTACAAAGAAAAGATGTAAGAGGATATTTCGATGTAGTTGAAGTCTTCGCGGAGGCTGATGACAAGCCAGTAATAATCGAGGAGCGGAGATCATTCTGTGCAGAGTCTCGGAGAATACTCGCTATTTGCGTTTGTGTGTTTGTGTGCCTAGCCCAATGAGGCACTAGATTACCCCGCAGTTGGCCAAAGCGGCGAGTATGGTTCATCAAGACGCGCGATGGCTTTCAAGTGGCAATAGGGCGTTCATCAGAATCGATAAAAATTTGATCCAGAGATAATCGGCTACATCTGGAAAGATGTTTGGATGGGATCGAGGCCCGTCAAGACATGCGCATGGTCTAAGCTGGCGCGATACATGTGGTGGATTGTGTCACCAGCGCGAAGAGGGGTAGATAAATAGTTGAACGTGAATCTTGGCGCAGTGGTGAGGCAGCCATACATGATCGGCGCGGAACGCGCTGGCGAGGAAAAGTTGGGTCGGGGAGATGGGCTATAATACATACCAACTGCTGACCAAGCAAGAGGATAGTTAGTGGTAGAGGGGCGGCCGGACGGAACAACTGATCGACCCGGAAGCGTGCACGGCGAGACGCTTCAGTGCATCAGCTATCAAAGCTGATGATGGTCAAGCAACCAATGCATCAAAAAGGCGCATCGCATGTCTGAGGCGCGCTGTCAGTGCCGATCAACCTGTAATGTCTGTTACGTGATAATTTAGGCGTGGACGGCTCAATGAATCGGCACCACGGAGCGGTATACACCGATGACGACAGGCTAAACGGCCGCCTCCGACCTTAAACCGAAAGGTGGGTGGCGAAGGTGGTGTCGGCGCGGCCGCGAGGTAAAGAACGGCGCGAACTTAGAAGGGCGGTGGCGGCCATGTTCAGGGGGCTTTCAGGGTCTTTCGGGGTCGTGGTTCATATGGCCTGTTTTTTTATATTTGGAATCCGTCAATTGTTCAGCCATATGGAGGGGGGGATAATATGATGCATGACGGATGCAGGTCCATTGTTTGCAAGGTGACCGATCGAGCCATGTGGCAGCATCGAGGTGGCAAAGATGGCATCGCGCGAGAGTGGCCGACAACGGAGACGGAAGACCGGCGGTCGACCGAGGACTGATTGATAATTCAAATACAGACGATGGGATGCCATTCACGGTGCCCGCGGGGACAGAATAAGAGATGGCGTGAAAAGTGGTGATATCGCATCGAGAGAGAGTGTTTGTGTGTGAGTGGGTGGCAAGTGGGCACAAGAGATTTTTGCGGGCGGCCAGTCAACCAGCCAGCCAACAAGGTGGGCGGTATTTGAAGCTACTAGGCCCACCAGCGAATCAGAGGCGGGGCATTCGTCATGGTTCTTCCAGGGCGGTACCTACCTACCTACCTATCTACAGCGTATACATTGTAATACAGGGCACTTTAGCGCGGGGTACATTCACTGTGAATGCCCCGCGGATGCCCTGCAAGCCCAACAAAGGCCCTGAAAGTCTAACAAATGCACTACAAGTCAAACTTTAATCTGCAGGTTCACCAGCGAATAGGCCAAAACCCAGGAAAACCCAGTAAAAAGCCCAAGAATCGGCATTGTGTCCCGAGTGCCGTCCGCCGTTCTCGTTGCCCCGCCCCGTCCGTCACACCAGCCAAGCTTCCTGCAAGCTTCCCTCCGCCTTCTCCCCTCGCCTCTTCGCCCCCTCCCTCCTCGCCCTCCAAACTAGTATTTCTTCCCAAAAAGCCACCCCATCCCCTCGAATTCTTTCCTCCCTCCCCTCTTCTCTCATGTCCTCCGATTTCAAGATTGCCGTCTCCCACAAGAGAGAGATATCCAAAGACGATCAAAGCCCTCGCAAGAAAATGTCCCAGCAAAGCACTGGCAAGTGCCCTGTCGTGCACACTGCCGACACGGGTAGAAAGAACCCCGACTGGTAAGTCCCTTTCAATTTCTCTCTCCCAAATACATGTTCCCGACACGCAAATGCTGTTTCTCGACTACAAACACGTCTGCTAACACATCCTCCCTCAGGTGGCCCAATGCTGTCAAGCTCGACATCCTCCGCCAGCACAACCCCTCCAGCAACCCCTACGGCCCCGACTTTGACTACGCCGCTGCTTTCAAGTCTCTCGACTACAATGCTCTCAAGAAAGATCTCCATGCTCTCATGACCGACTCTCAAGACTGGTGGCCTGCCGACTTTGGCCACTATGGCGGTCTCTTCATCCGCATGAGTTGGCACGCCGCCGGAACCTACCGTGTCTTTGACGGCCGCGGTGGTGGTGGCGAGGGCCAGCAGCGTTTTGCCCCCCTCAACAGGTAAGACTCCAAGCTGCCAGCCTAGCACGCCGACCTCATTTACTGACTTTATTTGCAGCTGGCCCGACAACGGTAACCTGGATAAGGCTCGTCGTCTTCTCTGGCCCATCAAGCAAAAGTATGGCAACAAGATCAGCTGGGCTGATCTGCTGGTCCTTGCCGGTAACGTCGCCCTTGAGTCCATGGGTTTCAAGACCTTTGGCTTCGCTGGCGGCCGTGCCGACACTTGGCAGTCTGACGAGGCCGTGTACTGGGGCTCCGAACCCCAGTGGATGACCGACAGCCACCGTTACAGCAAGGATTCTTCTGGCAAGCGTGACCCCGAGAGTCTTGAGAAGCCTCTTGGTGCCCAGATCATGGGTGAGTCTCACACAAATGCATGTTCAATTAATGGCAAGCTAACGCTACACAGGTCTCATTTACGTCAACCCCGGTGTCGAGGACCCCGTCACTGCTGCTCATGACATCCGCACCACATTCGGCCGTATGGCCATGAACGATGAGGAGACCGTTGCTCTCATTGCTGGTGGCCATACCTTTGGCAAGACCCACGGTGCTGCTCCCGACAGCAACGTTGGCGCTGAGCCCGCTGGCGCGCCCATTGAGCAGCAGGGCTTTGGATGGAAGAACGGCCACAACACTGGCAAGGGCGGTGATGCCATCACCTCCGGCCTCGAAGTCATCTGGACCAAGACTCCCACCAAGTGGAGCAACCAGTTCTTCGAGTACCTCTTCAAGTACGAATGGGAGCTCACCAAGAGCCCTGCTGGCGCTCCTCAGTGGGTTGCTAAGAACGCTGAGCCCTTCATTCCCGACGCTTTCGATCCTAGCAAGAAGCATCTTCCCAGAATGTTGACGACTGACCTGTCCCTTCGCGTGGACCCTGCCTACGAGAAGATCTCTCGTCGCTTCCTTGAGAACCCTGACCAGTTTGCCGATGCCTTTGCTCGCGCTTGGTTCAAGTTGCTGCACCGTGATCTCGGTCCCAAGGCGCTCTACCTCGGTCCCGAGGTCCCCTCTGAGGATCTTCTCTGGCAAGACCCCATCCCTGCCCTCAACCACCCCATTGTCGATAACAACGATGTCGCCACGCTCAAGAAGGCTATTCTTGACACTGGCCTCAGCACTTCCAAGCTTGTCTCGACTGCTTGGGCGTCTGCCTCGACTTTCCGTGGCAGTGACAAGCGCGGTGGTGCCAACGGTTCTCGCATCCGTCTCGCTCCCATGAAGGACTGGGAGGTCAACAACCCCTCACAGCTCTCGGAAGTTCTCGGCCAGCTTGAGAAGATTCAGCAGAAGTTCAACGAGTCCCAGAGCAACGGCAAGCGTGTATCGATTGCCGATCTTATTGTTCTTGCCGGTGCCGCCGGTGTCGAGCAGGCTGCCAAGGGTGCTGGTGTCGACATTACCGTCCCCTTTACCGCCGGTCGCATGGATGCCACCCAGGAGCAGACCGACGTTGAGTCCAACAACTATCTCGAGCCCATTGCCGATGGCTTCCGTAACTACGCCGGTCGTGGTGCCATCGACCGCCTGGAGCACTGGTTGGTCGACCGCGCTCAGCTGCTTACGCTTACCCCTCCTGAGCTCGCAGTCCTCGTTGGCGGTCTTCGCACCATTAATGTCAACTACGATGGTTCTTCCAACGGTGTTCTCACCTCGCGCCCCGGTACCCTGAGCAGCGACTTCTTCACCAACCTTCTCGACATGAACACTGTCTGGGAGCCCATTCAGCCCGATTCTGGTGTCTACAAGGGCAGCGACCGCAAGTCTGGCGAGCAAAAGTGGACAGCCACCCGTGTCGACCTCGTCTTTGGCTCGCACGCTGAGCTCCGCGCTCTGGGTGAGGTTTACGCTCAGCCTGATAATGCCCAGAAGTTTGTCAAGGACTTTGTCACCGCTTGGGACAAGGTCATGAACCTCGACCGCTTCGACATTAAGCCCGCTAGCAAGCCCCGTCTGTAAAGTACCATGATGAATTTACGCCAAAATAGTTTATACCAATTTACACAATTGACCTGAGTTTCATGTTGTTTGTGCTGTCGAATGCGTGTTCTGTGCGTTTTTATAATTGCTCGGCCCGTTTCGTAGACGTAGATGGTGTTGCTGCTTTGCGGTTGGGTCGATTTGGCGAGCAGGTTCGTTACATCTTCACAGTGAGTTGTTTGCGTATTGAAAAGACTAAGTTCTGCGAAGGATTGAATTCAAGATAACTCAACAGGTTAGCTCTTTGGTCGATGCGCCTATTTGATGTCAGCGATGATTGTCATTTCAGAAGCAGTGCATGAGCACTGTTTCAAAACGGCGAGAAGTACAACGAATGCCACACCGCCGGGGCATCGGGGCTTTGCATATATACTTTGCCTTGTTCTTTCGCCGCTCTGTAAAGTGGCCTGTATTCATTTCTGAAAGCGTATCTGGTCGATACTACATGTCTAGGCAGAGACGGGAGCGGGGAGGTAATCTCCCGTGATGCAGCAGCCGCACCGGTTTTAATGGATATTTCTGCTGACGAGGCCAACCCATGCCAGCGAGACCCGTACAACGTGTGTGATGCTTGCGACAGGCAAGTAAAATAGGTTGTGCGTCGGTTACCGCGGGCTTGACCTTGGTACAGAGGCCATGATTTGTTGTTGTCAAGCTGCAAACGAGCGAGACGTCCTACCGTATCTGACTTGGGAACCTGTTGCAGAACGCAAGTCCTCGCGACTCTGGCACAAAATGCGACTTCTATCTGAAAGCATGCCCGACATAATAAATAGAGCGGTCGAGCGAGCGACAACGCCAAAGCTATAAAACTTGAGCCTATAGGCTAGGGCTGGTATTTGTGCCTGCGTCGTAAAGACCCGCCAACGCTACGTATTGAACAGATATGGAGGCTTCCAAACTTCTTACTGCTCACTGTGAGAGAGAAAGTTAAACTGCAGGATAATAATAATTTGTAGTGGTCATCTCAAGTTTGGTGGGACAATCTGAGGGGGTGGGATCGAAGGTGCATGGGGTTTTCCTCAGCTTGGACAGAGCCTCCTTGCACAAGTGGCGGGCGCGGCATTTGCCGTGAATAGCCACCCGAGGACTACTACAATTCACCTTTTCGCTTCAATCTCGAATGCGTTGATGTCTGTGAAAGTGCCACGATCATCACTCTGTCGGGTAGAGCAAGGCATTGGCAAGGTACGAGCGCACCCGTCACATTATCATGAGGGCAATGCTGAAACTGTGGACTCTGAACGTCGTGGGAATATGAAAGACAAAGTCTTCTCTTTTACACGTAATACTCAGTTACAATTTGTCTTGTGACTGCATCTATCTCTCTCCGCGCCCCCTGCCCGCTGTCCGTCAACGACTAGTTAGTCAGGGGGGACGGGATGGAGGCCCTGACTACGGATAGAGCCTGCCGTCAGACCACCAAAAGTGGGCAGCGCCATCGCCGAGGTGGCAAGGTGGCTACGCATCTGTATGGATGTGTATTGGTGAGTGATGGGTGTTGGTGGCCTAATAGCCAGCCTGTTGGAGGAATACTTGAGAGCCAAAAAGATGTTTTAAGCGACGATGGAGAATTTTGTCACGGCGCACGTTGGTCGGGAAGAGACTCGGTAGATTGAAGCAAAAGAACGGTAGTCTTGGCAAGGTCTCTGCCATATCCGTACGGGGCTTTGTCGGGTATTGATATATTGCGGTCAATATAGTCTCCATCGACGGGCGGAGAATGGGTTGTGTATATGTCGCTCGTGAGCGCAGGCAGCGGGGACTGCCCGCAGTGACATGTAGTTTTTGTACCTGGTAATTTGGAGTATTACTGCGGGCACGAGAGTTGGACGTTTTGGCAGCGTCTAGGTTCCCTAATTAATTTACTGGAGGTGGAATGTGCTGGTGTTCCCCAGACTGCCAGTACGATTGTGGGAGATGGTTGATCATAGGAGGAGAGCGGAAAGTTTCCTGCTGTTGGCAGCCATGGATGCCGGCGCCGCTGCGAAAAGCAGATTCCTGGCACTCGAAGTTGTGACGAGCTTTTCTTTGTATTGAGTGGCTTGAAATATTGTACTGCATGGCTTGAAGAAGACGGAGGCTCTGGGCGAGGTCTGCACTATCTTGCATCTGTCGTGCGACCTTGTGGCGTTGAGGCTCAAATAAACCCTGGCGCGCATTACGGGCCATGATAAGCGTATATAAGGGAAAAAAATTATTACTTGCTGCTATGCGTTACTGTTATCTCTATTATACATAATCTGGCTTATTCGATGATGATTGTGTGCGCCTAATATATGCGGTTGGTCTGCACAGCTACCTATCGTCTCATTGTCAGCGTTGGGGAAGCTCTTTTCGATAGGCAACAGTGCCGATTGGATTCGGCTATCGAGTTTGGCATTCCACTTGCAGTCGTTACTGCATTAGTTTAGATGTGGTATTAGTAAGTAAACTTGCTTAGCTTGGCCAAAAAAAAAAAAACAACGTAAAATTTTGCCTGGAAACTTGTTCCTCCTCCCAGAAAGCGCGCAGCTGGGACGGGAACTACCTCAATTCGGCGGGACATAATCCGTACAGTAATAGCACCATAACGGATTTCGCTTAGCGTACAGGGTCTGTGACTTTGATAATTCATCTCATCCAATGTTAGAGGGGTGGGGGCGGCGGAGCGATAGAAACAACATGCAATAGCGACTGGGGGAGTGTGTGCAGTCGTTGAGCATACGCCCGCAAAGTTTTCGCAATGCTTTCGCCTGCAGCGTTGCCGTAGCTTCTTGCAGTCTTGATATCACTGTGCAAATAATTACTAGGGCAGAATGCCTTTCGACCAAGTTTGGTTCAAGCGACGGGAGCTAGGTGACAAGTCAGCCTAACCTACGTACCCATTTTACCTAACTATTACTCCTTGGGGGAATATGAGGCTATTCAGCCTGGTTTATTAGCGCATAACAATACTATACTATACTTTGAAGATATGAGGCGCGGCGCGCATGCTGCAAGCTGCTACTACGGCGCATTGAAGAATTGATCCAGGTGGCTTTCTTTTGTGATTCTGGCTATCGCCACTGATAACAAACTCGCAGCACTGATTCTACTTTGCTTGAAAGATTCTTCCCAAGTTCTTGAGTCTGGAGCTCCCCAAATGGTCACGCGCGCATGCCAAATCCGGGAGCCAACCCTGGTCATCCCCAGATGAGACAGTGGGGGAGAGACATTTTGACAGCTAATCCGGGGGGGGAAGGGGCAAAGTTGTGTGGCGATGAACTTTTAGAAAATCTCTTCATTCTTTGTCGAGTACAATTAGGACCGCGCTAGCAATTTCTCCTTGCCGTCTATCATCACACTGGTACGCACCAGCGCTTGTCACAGAAACGGTTGTTTCAATGTCGCCGACGCTACAGGCCGCCGATACGGGAGGGTGTAGAGAGAATAGCAGCGAATCAAGGAAAAAAAAAAAAAAAAGGAAAG